GTGGTCCTCCCAAAACGGGGGGAGGGAGGGGAAAAAACAAAAACAGACTGAGTGGTGGTCATCCGACAAAACATTGGATTCCAACTTAAAAGTTGGTGCAGATTCTTGGTTGTTGACCCCTGTGAAGTTTAGCTTGTTGTGGGTTCAACCAAATAGCAATCAAGGTTTGGTCTTCCCCAAAAACAGTCCGATTGGTGGTCAACGCTTGTTTCTCACCTTGTTCTCGTTGCCATTTTTTAGGGAACCCTGTCAAAAACAATGAATCTGTGTGGCAATCCGATTAAGAATTTGAGAAGTTATCTGGCCGAACAAGTGATCTTTAAACAAATAAAACCAACCGATGTCTGCCCTGCCCGGGAAAGAAACAAAAAGCGCCGCTCAGAACCTACGGGCTAAGAGTCCCAAAGCTGCTAGGCCCCATGCCTTTCCCATGTTCCAATCAGGGTAAGTTGCTCAGCTGCACCTCGTTTCCGGGTCCCGCTCACACAGGAACACACTTGAAGCCCCCCTGCCTTCCCCAAAACTATCAAATTATCTGCCATCTTCACCACTGAAAAAAGGTTTCGCGGAAAAGCAGGTTGGAGACAAATCCAAGCATTTGCTTAGGGTTCGGATCTAAATCAACCAGTAGATAATTTGATTTGTTTGACTAGCCCAAGGGATCCTTCAAGTCCCTCTTGGAAGGCCGCTAAGAAGAGGTTGTGATGCAGAGCCGGCGTACGCTCCACATGATTTGGTTAGAATGGCACACTCCTTCTTCGCACACGGCGATCACACTAGGCATGCAAAGTCTTTTAAGGACGCCCAATGGGACACACAAGGGGATAACCAAGGATACACTCAAGGGGACACCACGGCTACTGCTGCCACCAATTTGGTTCCTCTCCTCATTGAACTAGATCTGCTTGTGGACATACATGGCCTGGACAAGCTGCGGAATCGCGCGGAATGAGTCAGCAAAGTTCGGCCGTCAGGACATTGGACCCCTTGGTCGTTTGATACGGGAAATGATCGCAGCTGAAGACTATAGGCACTTGGAATTGGGTGGAGCTTGGTGAGTTAACCATCTGTTGGAAACCCCTTCAAAGTTCAAAGCAGCACAGAGTTGAAAAACCGACAGCCCAAAATCGCCCCTATTTCGGTCAACCCCTGTGTGAACCCGCAAGGCGGCGCACGGTAAAACTCAAACGCCTCAAAATCGAGGAACCCCTGGAATCGTCTGGTTCTTATGCAGCAACAGGCCCCTGTGTTTTGTCAAATGGGGGACCCCACAATGGTGGTTTCGGGTTTCCCTGTGAACCAAGGTCAAAGGGTACCCTCAACAAAGCAGACGTCCCAACCGTGAAACAACAGTCCCGTCTTGTGAAATGGGGGACCCCCACGATGGTGTTCCTTCGGGCTCCACGGTCTTCCTGTCCAGAAACTCGAGTGACATTCCCTTTGAACGCTAGGCTGGAATTAGGACCCCACCAGGATAGTGGAAAACAAAGGGACCCCAAAAAAGCAAAAGAACAGGGGAGCTAATTCTGGGGGTGAACACATGTCACAAGGGTAAAGAGAGCACCCTCAAAAGCCGCACAACACCCCCGGGATGAGTCCCCAGGCAATCTCCGCGCTGCATTTCTCCAGCCTTGAGCCAGTGGAACCCACATGGAACCCGATAGGGAGCCGTCTGGCGGTTCAAGGAAACCACCACGGCTGGAAGTGAAAGGACCCCTCAGATTGAAGAACCAAAATTGAAGTTGCGTGGACATGTTCAAAGTAGCTGGGCAGACCCCAGGATTGTAGTGTTAGCCTACCTTATTCAGAAAGCGAATGGCCTGCTATGGAACTGCAAGAAGTGAACTCTTTGGTTTGCTGGGAAACATGAAGGAACGCTTCAAAGACTTCCCCCACTGACCCCGAGACCAAATCCCAAACCTTATTTAGGGCTTGGGTACCCCTCATTTACTTTAATCTGTTTTAAGGGGTATGCTGCAGGAGTCAGGTAGTACAACCGTTGATACAACGGCAAACTGTCAAACAGGTAAGCCAAGTCTGGCAATGGAAAGTGTCGGGATCCTTTGCAAGGTCTGCCAAACTTCGTACCAGATTCAGGTCAGCAATAAACGCGACTGCCTAGCGCAACCCATGATTTGAAGAAGTTGGCGCCCACATTTTCAGGCCCCTCCTTTGAAACCTGGACAACCATGATCACCGTTTGGGACCTCCAAAAATTAGCGTGATCAGACCTCCATGGGAGAAAACCTTCTTGCGTTGGTTGATTTGCAAGGCTGAGGTGTTTCTTTTACTAGCCCCGGCATTTTTCTTGCCTCAACCCGACTGAAATGAACATGGATGGCACCGCATGGGCTTCTTACTCCGACCCCATGAACAATGCAACTGAGAAATGAAAAGCGGAAGCGCCCTTTGATTAGTTGTGTTGCAACTCTTGTGGAAAGCAAACCGGTCCCGATTTGTTCCGCCTCCAAAAAGCCTTCACAATGGTCACGGAATCTGTCTGCATGCGGTCCCTTTTTGCCGAGTAGCCATGGGGCACAAAAGACCCCGTCTTTCTTGGTTGATGTTTGAAAGATACACGCCAACAAAAAGGAGAACGGAGACTGGTTGACAGGACCGCCTCGTAACGGGCCATAGACAAAAACAGAGTCGCCGCTGGGAACTTTGGCTTACAAGGACAAGTTGGATCCTTCCTTTTTAAACCCAGACCTCCCCCCCCCTGGCCATGGGAAAAAACAAAATCAAATCATTTGAAGCAACCTCCTCGGGGGCAATGACCAGGGTACCTAGACTCAAGCTTAGTGTTTTGTTTCAGGGGAGGCACTGAGATTAGTCTTTGAGGTACCCTCACACCCTTTTCACATGGAACCTGACGTCGGGGAGTCTTGGTTTGGACCATGCTCCTTTTTAAAATGACCATTTCCCGAACGTCAGAATCCGCCTGTTGATTGGTGGGAGGGTGACCAAAACAACGCAACCCTGGGAAGGACAGCTGTGAGGCCCACCGAGAAGGATAACATCAAATGCGATCGCTACTCCTCTCTCGTTGGGACCCGGGCGTTAGAAGCGCCAAGAAAGCGCCCACTTGTGCCGGGCTGGCCTGGCTCGCTTGAGCCGGGTTTCGAGTTGGTGGCAAAACTTGGCCCAACTATGGAGCACACAAACATATTCAGAGAAGGGAAGGGAGTCCATGTTTTAGTCCACCCTTGAGGGGTTTTCCTATGTGTATGTATATATATATATATTTATTATGCATGTTCTGAGGACCAAAACGAAGGAGTTCCCCAAGCCTGATGGACCATTTGTTGATGGTTGCGAAATCCCTTCGCATGAATTTATGGGAATCAAACCATAACATTTTACGTTGGGAATCGAATCAGAAACCAGGGTGTCTGAAAGGTGCGAAATGAATTTCATCCACAGTATCAATACCAGACTTGTTCTGGATAGCCAAAACCCAACACCACGCAAGGTCAAAACAGTCAAAGACGTTTCTCTTCAAGAGGGCATATATGTTTCCTCCAACTGCCTGGGAAATACAATCGTTACAAGGCTTGAAATGCTTTATCGTTCTGTAAAAGTAGTCTTAGTCTCGGGTGCAGTGCTGAGTATATTTCGTGTGTGTGTGGAATGGAACAAATACCAAAAAATATGCTTTGCCAGGGGCGGAGTTGACAACCTATTTGTCATCAAGCCAGGTGAGGCCAATCCCTTGTTGAAATACACATGAAGGTGTGTGTGTGTGCGTGTGTGGGTGAGCGTGTGTATGTTTTTGAGGGTACCCGCTTTTTTTTGGTTGGTTCAAAGCAAAACCCACAGGAAAACCACCATTGTTGGGGGGCCCCAACCTTCAAACAGACAGACCCATGCGCAAACTATGGTTTACATGATCTGTTGGGCTGCCCTTTAAATGAATGGGTCGCAGAAATGTCACAACCCTTGGCCTGTCTTTCCGAGGTTCCCCCAATGGGAAGAGATTCGAAGCCAAGTTGGCGCCTGTGCCTGTACCAGCTGCGCTCACACGATATTGTTTGGTCACTTTCATCCGCGCCACGAGGTGAAGCCACGGTTCCACAGCATTCCTCGGAGGCTGTCCGCTGTCATGGAGCGTTTCCTGGGCGAGCCGCACAAGACGCAAACATCTGGGCATTAGGCAGAGCCTGCCTCTGACCACTTCATCACCCGGACCTCCTGTCAAAGCAGGCTTGAAATGGTCGACGGCTGTTGCAGCAAAGGCCATAAACAAATCCCAGCATTCAACACCAGGCACTCCCAGAAACCCAACAGCCGGCCGTCACTCCAACGCCGTCGACAAGCCACAGGTTGACTTGTTGTTGGATTCTAAATGATGATTCTTCAGAGAGATCCCTAGACTTTCGCATTGAAGCATCAGTCCCAAGGGAAACTCAACTTAAATTGACCAATAAAGTTCACAAACATCAAAGACCTTGAACCACTTGGAGCACATTGAAAGGATTTGGAAAGCGGTGTCGTGTTTTCGTCTCCTTTGGATTAGAAACCCAACCTGACCCTAGTGTCAAAAGTGGAAATGACGTGCTGGTTCTCAGTCGGGAATCAACAGGGAGTTTGCGAATGAACTCCGGCGATCCCCTTAAAGGAAACCACAAGGAATGGTTTTTGGGGGTCATTCCCTCATTCCCTCATTCCCTGCCTACCGCACCAGGATGAAGGAAACCAAACAGGGCAACCAGAGCGAAGCTTGCTGGTTCGATAGGGGAAGAGAAAATGACCGAGAAAAACCATCCCCTATGATGTCCTTTAAGGGACTCCCAAACGGTTTGTTCCCAAAACCCGGACTCGGAGATTCGCTACTACTTCGCTACCTATCACACCAGCAAGTCAGAACCCGGCGGAGTAACTTTAAGCAGGCAATATAGAGGCTACACTCCCTACCCAAAGGAAGCCCTCTGTTTTTGGGTATCCGCCCATGGCCGGCATCCCGCCTCGCCCCCCATGATCTCACGCATGGCAGTGCTGGCCTGGCGGGGGCCACGAGGCAAGTGTCTTCGTAAGCCTTGAAGGGGACTCTCCGCAGGCTTGCACTGCTTCACAAAAAACACAAATGCCATTCAGTTGTGTTGCTTGCTTTGGCATCTTGGGTGATTTACAGCTTAGCCCGTTTGTTTGGAAGGTTGAGGTAGCGAAGGAACACCACCACTCACTTCTGGAACGAGGCCGGAACAAGCGGGCCCAAAAACTGTAACGACACGTTCTCTTTGCCACTTAAATGGTGTTCTCAAAGAAGATCAAGTCCGGAATCTCGGGAAGTGAAATAATCTTCACCCCAAGCCTGGAATGCCAGACTACTTTCTTCTTTGCCCTCTGAACCGAGAAAAACACCTCCAACCTTTTGGATCAATGGAAAGCCCAGGCGTTTCGAGGCCCGGCTCCTCAGCTGACTGGTAAGGGACCGGGACCCCAAATGGATGGATTTTGCTTTTGTTTCCCAAGCCGACCCCAAAAATGGTCAAAACCACAAAACCACACCTCCAAATGGAATCACTGGGGAAGCACTTGGAGATTCCAAAACTGAAACCAATAGATTCCAAAGCGTCCTACCGTATGCCTGGCTTTTTCCTCATTCACGCGTTTTCGCCACCCTCAAACCACTGGGTTTAGCAGGATAAGAAACCACTATGTAACAAAACAACATGCAGAAAACCAACGTTTTCCCCTGGATCGCGGGGCAACACCCGTTGAACACAGTGGATTCTATGCGTGCCTTCTCTTGGGACTTGGTACCTTTGAGAAAGATTATAGGAACCACATAATGTTGACCTATGATTAATAAATAGGGGGGCCCCCCCCCCCCTGAATGACCATAAATAAAGATTAGGGGAGAATTTTCAGGGTCGGGCCTTCTTTAAAGGAGTTTAGTATTGGGCTCAGTTTTTTGGTTTTCGAATACTACTTTAGAATTGGGCCAATTCAAAAGTAGTATTGGGCATGTTGTTTTTTCTTATTTTGCTTTGGGGGAATACTAGTTTAGAATTGGGCCAATTCTAAAGTAGTATTGAGCCAAGAACTTTTGCATGCATTTCATGAGGGTTTGCGTGGGCAGGCATGTATTCCAGGAGGGATTGAGAAGGACATTCATGAGGGGCTGGCATGCATTTCAGGAGGGATTGCGAAGGACATTCATGAGGGTTTGCATGGGCAGGCATGTATTCCAAGAGGGATTGAGAAGGAAATTCATGAGGGTTTGCATGGGCTGGCATGCATTCTAGGAGGGATTGAGAAGGACATTCATGAGGGTTTGCATGGGCTGGCATGTATTCCAAGAGGGATTGAGAAGGACATTCATGAGGGTTTGCATGGGCAGGCATGCATTCTAGGAGGGATTGAGAAGGACATTCATGAGGGGTTGCATGGGCAGGCATGTATTCCAAGAGGGATTGAGAAGGACATTCATGAGGGTTTGCATGGGCAGGCATGTATTCCAAGAGGGATTGAGAAGGAAATTCATGAGGGTTTGCATGGGCTGGCATGCATTCTAGGAGGGATTGAGAAGGACATTCATGAGGGTTTGAGGCATGTATTCCAAGAGGGATTGAGAAGGACATTCATGAGGGTTTGCAGGGGCTGGATGTATTCCAAGAGGGATTGAGAAGGACATTCATGAGGGTTTGCATGGGCAGGCATGCATTCTAGGAGGGATTGAGAAGGACATTCATGAGGGTTTGCATGGGCAGGCATGTATTCCAAGAGGGATTGAGAAGGACATTCATGAGGGTTTGCATGGATTCAGCATGACATTCACAAGGGGAGGCATGGGTTTGCAGGCATTTCAGCAAGGGTTCAGTGAGCATTAGCTCGGCCAGCATTGCAGCCATGTCATCAGTGAGTGAGAATTCATGGCATGAACTTCATGAGTCAGATTTAGATTCAGGGCATGATGCAGATACAGAGCAGGCTGGGCAGGAGGAGGCTGGATCAGAGCTGGGGGCTGCAGAGCAGGAGGATGAGAATGCAGCAGTTGATGAGGGTGCATCAGTCCAGCGTTATTGGGCCAACCAGTACACTGCATTAGTGGGCATGACAAGGAGAATCAGCATCATGTTGAAGTGCTTAATCTGATTGGTCAGCATTTGGGCATTGATGTTGCAGACACATACTGGTGCCTGCATTATGCAGGCAGTGTGTATCAGTTTGTCCAGCTGGAGAACCCTGCATATTCAGATGCATGGTGCATCTGGGGCTGGGTGATTGAGTATGCAGCAAAAGGCAGCTACTATTTTGTGGGTGATGAGATCAAGGAGCTTGAATGTCATGTTGGAGATGTGCCATCAGAACTTGCATCATCAGGCTCAGATCAGACTCAGCACCATCAGGCTCAGGATTAAATTCAGATGCATCAACCACAACATCCTGTACATTCCCTCAGCATCCTCATGAGATCAGGTTTGTAAATTAGTTAGGCTCAAGTGTATGACAGAAAAAGGGTTATGGTGGTGTGTGGTGGGTGGTGTGTGGTGGGTGGTGTGTGGTGGGTGGTGTGTGGTGGGTGGTGTGTGGTGGGTGGTGTGTGGTGGGTGGTGGTGGGTTGGTGGTGCCAGCACCATTCCCTTTCAGCCCTGGCCAAGCCCTGCTAGGATCAGATCTTCATCAGGTGCTGCATCCAAAGAAGGATGATGAGGCAAAGAAGCCAATTGGAGAAGGGAAGGATGAGGAAAAGAAAGATGAGTAAGCAATGAGTAGCTGCAACCCAGTGTTCTTAGCAGTTGGCATCAGGATTGAGTTGGAAAACATGAAGGTGCATGCGCTGTCATGAGTGGCATGGGGGCAGTGAGCATGGATTCACTTGGCATCATGTGCATCCAGCATGTGCATGAGCCATTCAATCATCAGCAGCCTTTTGCACCATCAGAGCTTGGAATCAGTTTGTATTTGGAGCCCATTAGCATGGCCATGAGCATGAAGAAGGTGATGGCATGCCTGGTTGCCATCATTGCAGTGGTATTTGGCATCATCAGTAGCTTGAATCAATTCATGGGGGACAAATTGACAATTGCTCATCACTGACAATTGTTAACTATCATGACTGAGGCCAGGGGATTGACATGGAGCACCATCAGTTGATCAATCAGGGAGTGCCTTGGCCACATGGGGCATGGCAATGCAGGGAAATTAGCATGGGTGGAGGGTGCACACAAATCAGGTGATGTACTGCTTCATGCTGTATGCATTGTGGAAGATGCATCAGTTTGTGGATCATGCAACTTGGAGTCATTAATTAGTTAAGTATGCAAATGTATTTGTTTTGCAATGGCATGCAGGTAGTCACATGAACATTGATGAACATTGTTCACTGCTCAGGCATGCAACATCAGCAACTCAGCCTGGACATGTGCAAGGGAAGCAGGGTTCATGGAGAAGCGTGCCTGTGTCAGCAATTCATGATTCATGGCATGGAGTTTGCTTGAACCAGGTGTATAGTGTGTGAATGCTTTAAATTCTTGATGAACTTCAGGCATGGACATCGCCTATGGAGGCTTCCATGATTTGCAAAGGCATGTGGCACAGGTGCTCAGAGAGCCTCTTGGCTGATGCAAGATAATTACATGAAGCATGATGATGAGCACATGAGGTGATAAGGAACTAGTTAGTCAGATGTCATCAGCTGTTACTCAGTTAATTACTGGGCTCAGGTATGATGATCAGATGGGGGATTCTGCCATATTGGTGGGCATGATCCAGGGATTGCGCCCTACATTTGCACCAGGGATGAGCAGAACCTTGCCAGCATTAGTTTCATTAGGCAATGCTAATTATCAGCAGGCAATGCAGCAGGGCAACCATTGCAACCAGCATGGCAACACATGATTGGCTTTATTCATTCCAGCCAAGGGGATTACTATGAGGCAGAATGGGATTTGGCAATTCGTGCAGCATTGCTGGATGCAAAGCTGCAGGCCCAGCAGCTTTGAGTAACTAATGAAATGACAGTTCATGAAGCAAAATTCTAATTAAGTTGCATGACGATTGGACTTGTTGTTTTCAACTAAGGTATCAGCAGCTGATTCGCAAGGTATGTGGGATGAAGGACTATGTGGCACATGATAAAGAGCAGTTCACCAGGAAGAATGCCAACAGGAAGGAATGGCAACAGGAGCAATTCCATCCAGAGCATTGGATTAATTAGTAAACAAATGGTTACATGAGTGCTTGAAACTAGCAAGTGTTTGAGATGTGCTGAGGATCAGGATGCTGCTTCCATCATGGGCATGTGCCCCCCATGGAGCAAGCTCATCAAGGCATACCAGGCCATTGATGCCAGGATGCAGCAGCTGGTGTGCCTTGGAAGTTTCAATCCAGAATCAGCAATCAAAGAACTGTTAGCTTGTGAGTGCATGATGTGATATCCAAGTGCATCATTGATTAAGGAAGCTCTATGAGCACTACAATCAGCAAATGGATCAGTGGGAAATGGACATTCCATTGCAGCCCATGTGGTCATTCCAAAGGGAGATGACCAAGATCGACAAGATGTGCCTCAGCAAGCAAGCATTTGATGAGTTTGATGAATTATCAATCAACAGACCCAGCAAGCAATCAGCAGGATACATAGTTAACAAACATCAGCTCTTGACCATCAGCAAGCAACATACATGTGAATAGTGTGCAAATGAGGATCCAGGAAAGCGAGGATAAGAAAGGGAGCCTTGGAGAATTAGTTGAGTCAAGGTAGAAGTCATCAGCATCAATGTGCATGCACACTTTGGACTTAAGGCAGAAATGCATCAAGGGCATGTTCTAAGCCTGATGCAGCCAGGAAGATGTGACTTGACAGCACATGATGAATGCAAGTGCAATGGAAGGGGACATTGGTTACTTGTTTGGGTGTGCAATGCAAGGCGCCATTCATCAGCTGGTATGGCACAAGCGGGTAAGGCGCAGTGCCTTGCAAGCAATAGATGGGCAGTTGCATGGCCATCAGCAAGCATGCAGTTAATCAAGGGCAGTGGCAGCACAACTAGCC